AGCTGTATCTGTTACCTTTTGTTTTTCTAACCCTGCGTTTGGATTGGTTGTTGTCTTCTGTAAATGCTCTCCATCCATTGCAAAGAGAAGGGTCCTTGATAAGAGTTGTAAACTACACTCACATCTGAAGAGCTGGAGCTAGAAGCCTCTGATGGGAGAGAACCTGCGATGTGGATCTTTCTGGAACTGAGCTACCTCACTGGGTATGACATTTCTTTAAAAAAAAAAAAAAAAAAAGATTTGTTTTATATATGGAAGTACACTGTCGCTGTCTTCAGACACACCAGAAGAGGGCATCGGATCCCATTACAGATGGTTGTGAGCCACCATATGGTTGCTGGGAATTGAACTCAGGACCTCTGGAAAAGCACCTAGTGCTCTTAACCTCTGAGCCATCTTTCCAGTGCCCCTTGGTATGGTCTTTCATAGTTCCATCCATTTCCAAGGCTAGACCCTGCAGACAGATGTGAGAGACCTGGCTGGGTTGGACAGGTTGGATGCAGAGTAGAAGGGGCCCGGTGGTGTTGGCAGGAAGAGCGGGTCCTGGCGGAAGCTTCTCCATTCATTTCATGGGAGACAGGTTATCTTCTTCCTGGTTTTTTACAAGTGCTGCTATGAACATTCCCACAAGGTTTTGTGAAAACAATCTCTTTTTATTATTCTCTGTAGTGCAGGGTGCGGCACCTATAATCCCAGTGTTCAGGAGGCTCCAGGAGAAAGAATACTGCAAATCCCAGGCTAGTGTGCGCTAGTGTGAGATCCCATCAAAAGATCCCTGAAATACATACTCAGGACTGGATTTGCTGGATCACATGGTAATTCAGTGTTTAACCATGAAATCACACTTCCAGTCATCCATTTTTTAAAAGTTATTTATTCGCTCGGTATGGGCATTGTGTTTGCACGTTATGTCTACACATCAAGTGCCTGCCTGGTGCCCATGGAAGGACAAATCCCCCTGGGACTGGAGTCACAGTCTATCTTTTAAAAAAAAATCATTTTTATTATGAATGTTTTGCCTGCATGTATGTATGTGTACCACGGGTATGCCTGGTACGCACTGAGGTCGGAAGATGATGTCAGAGTCACCGAGACTGGAGTCACAGGTGGTCATGAGCCTTCGAGTGGTACTGAGAATCAAACCAGTCAACGGTCTTATCTGCTGAGCCAACTCTACTGCCTGAAAGTCTATCATTTTTATAAAGCCTTGCTAGTGTAGATAAAATGGTATCTCAGTGTGCCAGTTTACATATTTATGCCTTTAATGACACTGTGTACCTTTCAGATTCCTTACTAACCATTTAAATTTTTTTTTTTAAAAAAATGTACTTCCCCCTATTTTGGTTTGAGATCAGGCCTCATGTAACCCTGGCTGGGCTCGAACTTGTTACATAGTCAAAGGTGATCCTGAACTCCTGGTCCTTCTGCCTCCACCTTCCAAGTGCTGAGATCTCAGGCGTGTACCAGGACAGGGAAAGCTTATTCAACTTTCTCTTGCCTGTTTTTATATTGTGTTACCATTTTAAGTAACAGTACTTGAAATATTCCAGGCTCTGAGCTTTTATGAGATGCGTGCTTCCTGTTTTATGGGCTCTTTATGCTGACCTGCCTCTTTTAAGGACAAAACTATAAATTGTGACAAAGTACAGGTACCTGTCTTCCTTTTTGTTTTCTGTGTTTCTGTTTTATCTTTTAAAGGGGGGGGGAGTATCACTTCGTAATTCAAGGTTCCAAGTTCTGTACCTAGGTCTTTATTGAAGAGGTTTTTTTGTTTTGTTTTGTTTTTGTTTTTTGTTTTTTTCGAGACAGGGTTTCTCTGTGTAGCCCTGGCTGTCCTGGAACTCACTCTGTATACCAGGCTGTCCTCGAACTCAGAAATCCGCCTGCCTCTGCCTCCCAAGTGCTGGGATTAAAGGCGTGCGCCACCACTGCCCGGCCTATTAAAGAGGTTTGTAATGTGAGCTCAGATATATTTGTCTTTTGTAGCCATTAGACAGATTTGACTTTATACAAGACGGAAGCAGGCATTCAGCTTCAAATCTTTTGCGAGTGGCTGTACTCTGGCTCCAGAGTCATCTGCCGAAGCCTACTCTTCCCTCCTCCGATTGTGCCGGCGCCCTGACTGAAAAACTCTTCCTAAGAATCCCCAAGTTGCTCAATACCAACCACACTCAGTCAAGCGCGTGACAGAGAAAGCAACTGAACACAATTAAAATCTGAGCTGAAGACATGGCTCTGTGGTTAAGATGACACACTACTCCTGCAGAGGACCAAAGAGCAGTTCAAGCACTCGGGTCAGGTGACCCGCAGGTCAGGTGACCCGCAGCCACACTCCAGCTCCCAGGGATCCGATGTCTTTTCTGGCCTCTGTATGAGCATGCACAAAGCCCTCCCAATGATGGGTTGGAGAGTGGCTTGGTGGGGAGGAGTGTACTGTTCTTCCAGAGGATCCAAGTTTGGTTTCCAGCACCCGCATCTGTAGGCATAATGTTTTTGTTCACTGTGTAAAGATTATCCTTGTAATATTCAAATGCTGACCGAGTCTCTGCTCTTATTTCAGTTGCAATCAGGACATGGCACTGTAACGCTTATTCTAAGGCTCTCCTGTCTCAAGTTTGTGCAAGCATCGCTCCTCAGGTGTTCTTTTATTTGTCAATAAAAGCCGATCAACTAATGACCGAGTAGAGTAGAGAATAGGGCGGGACTTCTGCCAGTGGGGGTGGGAGGCTGGAGGATGAGGGAAGGAGAGAAGGAGAGAGGGAAAGAGGGAGAGAGGGAGGGAGGGAGGGAGGGAGGGAGGGAGGGAGGGAGGGAGGGAGGGAGGATCGATCCACCACGTACAGAGGGTCCAGGAGATACCATGAGAACAACCTGGAGCAGAGAGAGGCAGAGCAATATTAAACTGCAAGTATCTAGGGGGTATCTGGGAGACAGCCAGATTATCTTAAAGAATTAGAACAGATTAAAAACTGCTTAGATATTGTGCTGTAAAGCCTATTACATAAATCTAATAATTTCTGTCTCATTTATTTGAGAGCTAGCTGGGATAGAGGGAAAAAAAACCCTAAGACTTACAAAATTCCTTATGATACACTCAGGTAGCTCACCTACTCCAGCTCCACGGGATCCAGTGTCCTCCTGCACATGCGCGTGACACACCTCACATGCATACAAGGACCCATAATGAAAAAGAAATCCTTTAAAAATGAAAACATGAATTTTTTGTTTAAAAGATCAAATAGGTATCACAAAATAAGAATCAGTCAGGGGTGGAGATGTAACTCCAGAGCCTTTGTCCTGCGTATGAGAAACTCAGAATGATGACCCAGTAAGACACAGAGAGTAGACAAGAGAAGTTAAGGAAATGTAACTTGGCTTATATTTATTCTTGTGTCTCAGAATTTTTTTTATTTTTTTTATTTTTTATTATTTTATTTTATTATTTTATTTTATTTTATTTATTTTATTTTATTTTATTTGTTTTTAGAGACAGGGTTTCTATGTATAGCTCTGGCTGTCCTGGAACTCACTCTGTAGACCAGGCTGGCCTCGAACTCAGAAATCCGCCTGTCTCTGCCTCCTAAGTGCTGGGATTAAAGGCGTGCACCACCACCGCTCCAGGCTGGCATGTTTTTTAGAATAGGCCGTAGAGTAAAACTTAAGATCATTCAAATCGCATGATGAGTCTCTGGTAACATGGTGCTATGGTTTATGTATGAAGAGGTCTCCCAAAACCTTCATGTATTGAAGGCTTCTTCCCCACACGGGAGATACAACACTGAAAGGGTACTGGATGCTATAAGATTGTGAGTGATAACATAGGGAGAATCATAACACTGGGAGGTGGTAAAAAGGAGGTGAAGCCAATTGGAACAACGAATCCACTGGGAGCTGCTGGTGGAAAGACACATCTTGTCCCCACGCCTTTCTATAAGGTCTATGCCACCATGCTCTCTCAGATCAGTGGACCCAAGTGACTATAATAGAAGCCTCTGAAACCATGAGCCCAGATACATCGTCCTCCCTTCTGTTTCCTTTCAGGATTCTGTCACTGTGACCAAAAGCTAAAGCTAACACCTGGAATGAAAGATTTGTGAAGCAGAAAGTGGAGAGCAACTGTCAGGAGTCTGATTAGGACCTAAAATCCTGTGTACATTACTTGCTATATTAATACTGCACAGGGCCGAGATGCTGTCCTTGCTATGTTCACTGGACAGTACCTGGCATAAGGAAGGTCCCTAATAACACTTTTGGATGTATCTGCTACACTAAATATAAAACACCTATAAAAACACAGGTGAAGGGAATGGATATATGTGACCATGTAACAATGGTGTCTCCCCACTGGCTTGACTTTTTCCAGTTCTCCCTAAGCTTGTGCTAAGACATTCTTAATAGCAAGGTAACTACAGGGACCCCTACCAGGCTCTGGCTGTTTCCTCCTCTCAGATGCAACTAAGACAGTTATCTGACTTGGGGCAGGGACGTGGCCTGACTTCAGGTCTAGGAGGGGTATATGGTGGCATTTGTGGCTGACTACTACAGACATCCCAGGACACCAGATTTTTACACCTGCCCACCCTATAGATTCAGAAAGCAGCACATCAGAGCTCCCTGCATTACGTCCGGGTTAAGTTTGGCTCCCTCAGTCAGGGAAGATTTTTCTCTTTAGCGCTGAGGTCTTCTAGGAATGTAACTCTTACCCAAGTTGCCTTGGGGCAAGCAAGGCTCATTATCCTGTATCGGAACCGCTGAGCTGTCCTTTGCTACAGGGAAGAACCCATCAGCCTCTCGATCCTAGGCCTGAGGGTGTGATTACTCTTGTCACTCTCGGAGCTGACTATGCTCCCAGCTCTAGAGGTAATTCGTCCCTTAAGGCTAAGCCACTCTTGCTTTTCCGACTCGCCCCTTGAGGGGGTCACGGGTCCGGGCGTCACCCTGGGGTGGCTGAGAGGGAGGAGACGAGCTCCCTGGGCCGCGCGCCGCCTATTTCCGGGCGTCGCCGCGGGCCTGCCCGAGCGGCTGGGCGGGGATTGCAGCCGGGACCGGGCGGCGGCGAGGGGACCCGCGGTGACCACGGCGCGGAGCGGGCGGCGGAGCCATGGCAGGCTGCTGCTCCGTGCTCGGGGCCTTCCTGTTCGAGTACGACACGCCGCGCATCGTGCTCATCCGCAGCCGTAAAGTGGGGCTCATGAACCGCATGGTGCAGCTGCTCATCCTGGCTTACGTCATCGGGTGAGCGGGCCTGGGGAGGGGCCGCGGCTGGGGGAACCCAGACTGCCGGGACCTGGCAGCGCCCCCATTGCTCGCCCTCTGGGCCTGGGGCACCCGCTGAGCCGGCCAAGCCCCTCCTCCCCGAGTTCAAGGGGCGGCGACACGCCCTCGCCGGGCTCGAGCCACCTGGATCCGGCTTGAACGGGACACTGGGGACAACAGGACGTCCTACGAGCTAAGCCTTGTCTTAGCTAGACTGTCACCCCATCCTTCTCGCATCCTTACCTTCTGATTTGCTCCCCATGATGCTCCTTGGCTTGGTGCAGGGGCTGGGCAGGAAGGGCTTAACTCTTAAGGTCACCGTCTTCTCTTCGTTTCCATTTCAAACTCGGACGGAAAGCAAGTCTTGTGATTTTCTTTGAGTACTCTCTGGCTCTGTGGTTTCTGTTCCTTTAAGAAAGCTTCCGATAACCCAGAACCTTTGGGATGTCACACTTCCCAAAAGTGTCCTAAAGCCACTTCCTTTGTTGGATTCGTTGGGAATATGAGTACTCGCTTGATTTTGATTCTAAACTCGGCTCCCCATTTACTGTTTATATATACCCTCCCATCACTAAGCATTATTAAATGTTTAATTTTAATTGGATGCACCTGTAAGAATGTAATACACCCCCCCCCCAGGAGAGATGGTGAACGTTACCTTGCCTCCTGGGTCCAATTTCAAGGTATTCAAGTGTCAATAGCTACTGGTGTGACAGGTGGATCTGTTTTCTTATTCTTTCTAAAGAGCCTAAAACACGGATCCCTAAACTACACATTGGAATTCACAGATAAAAACAGATTGCCAGTTCACAAGCTGACACAGGGCTGTAAAACAGGGCTTGCCAAACCTCTGTACCTGACCACACTCACCTGAGGAAGTTTTGTGTGGCCTTAGGTACATGAAGTAGGTACACAGGTGGCTAGAGAGATGGCCCAGTGGTTAAAAATGCCTCCTAAGACACAGCCTTTAATCCTAGCACTGGGGAGGGAGAGGCAGGTGGCTATCCGTGAGTTCAAAGCCAGCCTGGTCTACATAGTTTCGGGACAACCAGAATGATACAGTGTCTCAAATAATAAACCAACACGTCTCCTGCTTTGGTGTGAGGTCTGGAATCTGTTCAGACTGCCGAAGGGCATTCGAAAGAGTGCAGGTTTCCCTCACAAGGTTGCAGGTTCCAGCATATGGAAGCAGTAATAGACACTAGATAGAACTTGCTGAAGCCGGGTGTGGCAGTAATATGTGTCTGCAACCCCAGTATTCATGGGGCTGAGGCAGGAGGATATTGAATTTAAGCTAGCCTGGGCTACATGAGACCCGCTCCAAAAAAAAGTCCTATGTAGATAAAGTGTGTCTTTAGCATGAGGCCTTGGATTCCGTCGCCGGTACCTGAAAAACACCCAGCCTGGCCAGTATCTAAGTTTGGACTTGTTAAGTTTCTGGAGGAAGTAGTTTCAGTGGTCAGGATGAAGTCGCCAGTACTGAGACTAACTAACTCGGATTGGAAGCGTCTGGAATCAGGAGCTCTCAGGGAGCTTTGAGCTCTCGGCTTCCGGTTTCCTGGGATCATCTGCTCACTGATAAGATTCTGTGGCTGTTGTCATTTTAAGCGGGCCACGTGCAGCCACTGAATTAAATGCACTCAAGCTAAACAAACAGATAAAAACCACACACACACACACACACACTCGGTTTTGAAGATATTTTCGATATAGTACACCAAAAAAAGTAAAATGTCATATCAGTACTTTTTCCCCTGAAGTACCAAAGGCCTCTTGCATACCAGACAAGTTTTGTGCTATTGTTTGTTTAAATGTTGATTTTATTTTTGCTTATGTATCTGTGTATAAGTGCAGGGACATGCTACAACACCTGAGGCCAGAGAACAACTTTCAGGAGTAGTTCTCTCCTTCCACTGTGGGTTCTGGGGATGGAACTCAGGTCCTTAGACATGCGCAGTGATCAATTTTACTTGCTGACACCATCTCACCAGCGTTTTTTTGGGGAGGAGGTCCTGGGACTTGGGTTGGACAGGTTCATGTAGCCCAGGCTGTAACCAAGGATGACAGTACTGGACTCCTAATCCTGCCTCTACCTCCCAAGTTCGGGGAATACAGGTATACACTACCAAGTCCAGATCCAGTCTGATACGTTAGAAATTGATAATGTCTCAGGGTGACCGTGGCACAAATCTTTAAACCCAGCGCTTGGGGAGACAGAGGCAGGTGGATCTCTGAGTTTGAGTCAGGGCTACACAGAGAAATCCTGTCCCATCCACCCCGCTCCCCCAAAATTCTATATTGGACCACATAAAAATATGTCATTATTTTTTCCTGTTCCTTTTTTTTCTTTAAAGACAAGATCTGGCTGGGTGATGGTGGCGCACGCCTTTAATCCCAGCACTTGGGAGGCAGAGACAGGCGGATTTCTGAGTTCGAGGCCAGCCTGGTCTACAGAGTGAGTTCCAGGACAGCCAGGGCTACACAGAGAAACCCTGTCTCAAAAAAACAAAACAAAACAAAAAAAAGACAAGATCTGTTAATCCCAGCACTTGGGAGGCAGAGGCAGGCGGATTTCTGAGTTCAAGGCCGGCCTGGTCTACAGTGTGATTTCCAGGACAGTCAGGGTTTGTCTCGAAAAAAAAAAAAAAAAAAAAGACAAAAAATTATCTGGCCAGTAACATGATATGTAACCTAGGCTGGTCTAGAACTCACAGCGCTCTGCCTTCCAGGTGGTGAGATGAAAAGCATTCACCAGCACACCTGGCTTACACTCTGTTTCTAATCATGGACTCTTACCACGGAACTACGCTCCCTACCCTACTGTATTCTATTTCTATTGGGCAGCATAGTTAAGGGGTCTCCTTACATCGCATTGTCTTCCCCATCATCTCTAAAACAATAGAGCTTTGCTTTCACCCATCCTACAGCGATCAACATTGACTCATGGTCTAAATGCAGGTCTTGGCTTAAGCTTTTAGCTTTTGTTGTTTTGAGACAGAGCCCAAAATGTAGCCCAGGTAACCCTGCACTCAGTAAATAGTCCAGGCTGGCCAAGGAATCTGCAAGCGATTTGTATGCCTTAGCCTCCAGAGTGCTGGGCTTACATCCACGATTTACCACTCCCTGGCTTTTCTTTGTTAACTTGCTGGCTTCTTTAATCTTGGTGAAAATGTAATCTCTTTCTGCATGGAGCAAGTCTTTCCTCAGAATTCCCAGTGATCTTACTCACGTGACGAAGAAATAAGTAATCCTGTGACGACGGTGTCATCTCTTGTGCCTGATTTCGCAACTTGTACTGGGTCATAAACCCACAGTCTTTCTGCCCTCACCTCTCCATCAGAGTGGATTACAGGGAGGCATTAGCAGCCCACAGAAGAGGGCTTGGTGGGAGAGAAACCATCTTTAGGATGGGCAGAGGATCGAGGATGGCTTATATTAAATAAACCCAGGAGAAAGTAACCCAAGAGCCGGGCGGTGGTGGCGCACACCTTTCATCCCAGCACTCAGGAGGCAGAGGCAGGCAGATCTCTGAGTTCGAGGCCAGCCTGGTCTACATAGTAGGTTCCAAGACAGCCAGAGCTATAAAGGGAAACCTTATCTGAAAGGAAGAAAGAAAGAAAAGAAAGAAAGAAAGAAAGAAAGAAAGGAAGAAAGAAAGAAAGAGAAATAAAAAAGGTAACCAAAACTCCTACTTCTGAAGTCTTTTGAGCATGTATCTGAAACAACATAGACTTGTTTTCTACAGCAATGTGACACCAGCTCTTGGCAGTGTTCAGATTGCTCTGCACTGCTTAAGATATTGCTCCTGCCTTATTAACGTATCTCACTGCGATTCTGTGAAGTTCTGTTATCCTTCCCAGTGTAAAGGCAGGACAAGCTGAGGCGCAGAGCAGTTAAGCGATCCTGTGACCCTAGCACTCAGACAGATGCCTTCAGGTTTGTAGTTACTCAGCCTGAATAACTCCTTCAGAAGGAAGAAGCAGGAGATGACTGGAATTCCTAGGAAAAAGGAAGACAGGACCTGTAAAAAGTTTCCCTGAGGGGCTGACGGGAGAACTCAGATAGTGAAGTACTCAATGCACAAGCTGGAGGACCAGAATTTGAGCCCCAGTATGAGGTGCTGAATCACACGCCTGGAGAGGCAGACAAGGTCCCTGGGATTCAATGGCTACCCTACTCATCCAGCCCCAGTAAGATCCTGTCTCAGAAAAATAAGGTGGAAGCCAGCCAGCACTCGGGAGGCAGAGGCAGGCAAATCTATGTGAGTTTGAGGCCAGCCTGGTCCACAGACTGAGTTCCAGGACAGCCAGGGCTACACAGAGAAACCCTGTCTCGAAAAACCGAAGTGATTGCGATGCAAGCCCAACAACTTGAATCTGGTCCCCAGAATCTTCGAGGGAGAAAAATCACTCCTAAAAGTTGTCCTCTGACTTTGACATGTGAGCCCACACCTACACACAAATATCCACATACCATCATACAGACTAACCAGCAGCTGGGTAGCGAGGCTCACTCCTGACATCCCAGCACTTGGGAGTATGAGGTGGGAGGATTGCTACCTGGGAATCTGAGCCTAGCCTGAGCCTCATAGCCTGCACCAGGCCAGCCAGTGCTACATAGCAAAAGCCTGGCTTAAACAACCAAAGTTGCCTAAAAGATAAGATTCTCTTGTTTAGAGACAATAGGGGATTCGAAGTTTTTTCCTGGCTTGGGTTCAAATCCCTACTCTGCCACTTGCTAGCTATATGACCTTAGGAACGTTTGGCTTAACCATTCTTTGTCTCTGTTCCTATCTCCATTAATTCTAAGTAACAATAACGCTGTGTGCCTCATAAAATGGTCAGGATTAAATGACCTACTACATGTAAATCAAGTGGAAACTTGTTATAATACAAACTATTGGCAATTGTTATAATAGAAACTACTGGAGATTCCCATCAATCATAGTGTTTAGAGGCTGTCTAGACATCAAGTAATAACGGCAGCCTATCTCCTGGATGCTCACGACTGTGCCACCTGACCATGGCACTCATTTCTCACAGAGTAACCAGTGTGGCTACTATGTCCATTTACAGTAATGGGACGTAGAAGTTGGGCAGCTTTTCCCAGTCACATAGTCAGTAAGTGCCACACTTCAGCCCTGCAGCTATCGGACTCCCCAGTGTCAGGTTGAATTTACTGTTCTATAACCTATCTTCCTCAGATGGGTGTTCGTGTGGGAAAAGGGCTACCAGGAAACGGACTCCGTGGTCAGCTCGGTGACAACCAAAGCCAAAGGTGTGGCTGTGACCAACACTTCTCAACTTGGATTCCGGATCTGGGACGTGGCCGACTATGTGGTTCCAGCTCAGGTATGTCTTGCTGTGACATCTGCGCACAGGAAGCACTTTGCTGGTCTTGTTGACAAACAGTGAGTGGCCAAGGTTCGCCACCTCCGGGCCTAGGTTGTTTTTGCCCAAGAAAGCAAGACAGCCAGATCTCTCTGGGATGTCATTTCTTCCACAGAACCCTTGAGAGCTCTAGAGCGCTGTAGTGTGGCTGGCTCCAAGCCGACACTCTGTCTTCCCCACACTTTCATGTCTCCAAGCTCTCGAAAGTAAGGAAGCAAAGGTCTTTAGTCTTGGGCAGTGAGGCAAGAAATAACACCTTCTGCATTATGGGTTTGCTTTCCTCTCTTACACCCACAAGGTAAAGCTTGTCAGAGGGTATAAAAAAACAAAACAAGACAAAACAATCCTGCAGTTAAAGAACACACACCCAAACTAGAAGGAAATGGTCAGATGATTCCAAGAGGAATAGAGAGAAAGAAATCACTGCATGAGGCATCTTTTTTTGTTTGTTTTGTTTTGTTTTTTTCGAGACAGGGTTTCTCTGTGTAGCCCTGGCTGTCCTGGAACTCACTCTGTAGACCAGGCTGGCCTCGAACTCTCGAACTCAGAAATCTGCCTGCCTCTGCCTCCCAAGTGCTGGGATTAAAGGCGTGCGCCACCACCGCCCAGCTGAGGCATCTTAATCTATACACTGTTGGTCTCTTTTTCTAGAGCTGGAGGCTTCACACGGGCTGGGCAAGTGTTCTACTGCTGAGCCAGATCTCCAGCCCCAAAGCTGCAGGTTAAACATTGACTCGGCTGTGTGTGCCACTTGGCCAAACCCTGGCCTCGGGAGTCTCCTTCCACGCGCTGATGTGCTGGCTTGGTGTGTTTGGTGGCCAGATTGATTAAGCTGTGAGCACTTGGCTTGGAGCTAAGAGAGGAGAATAGTTAGTCTCTTCAAGTGCGTTGGTTTCCCTGCCTTCTCAGGAGAAGGGTTTGATAATGGAGGGGAGCGCCCAGAGCAAAGGCAGAGCTAATAAGACAGAAAAAGAAAATAAGGCTGCCTAGGCATGGTGACACATGCCTATAATCCCAGCACTCAAAAGGGCAGGGCAAGCAGACCTCTGTAAATTTCAAGGCCAGCCTGGTCTACATAGTGAGTTAGTGAGTCCCAAGCCACTCAGAGCTACAAAATGAAACCCTGTCTCAAAAAAAAAAAAAAAAAAAAGAAAATTTCTTAAAAATCAGTTGGAGCAAGTGGTTGCAACGGGGTGGCCCTTCAGTCTGCACCAATCTCAGCAGTGGTGGTGACTTCCAACCTCAGCGTAACAGACTCTGGGACTGTCACACCCAATCAGTGTACCTGTTACAGCCAAGGAAGGACATCAGCCCTCTCCTGAACCTCAGTGGGGAGGTCCAGCCAGCAGCTGTGTTCTGCCAAGCACCTGGACTGCTCTTCCAAAGGACCTGGGTTCCGTTTCCAGCAACTACATGGTGGCTTACAACCATCGACAACAACAGTTCCAGGGGCTCTGACGGCCTCTTCTGACTTCTGCTGGCACCGTTACGTCACTGCCTGACAGACTGTTCTCTAGAGTACTTTAAATTTATTTGTTTTTAAAAGGCTCATTATGCTGCCCTCATTAACCTAGAACTTGCTATGTAACCAGATTGGCCTTGAACTCACAGATCCTTCTGTCTCTGCTTCCTGCTCGGATTAAAGGTGTACCTCACCACACCCAGCCTTTAGCATGCTTTAAAGTGCCTGTGTGTGTACCTGCAGTGTACCACGTCTATGCAGTACCAGCATAGGCCAGAAGAGGGCATCAGATCCCCAGGAACTGGAGTTGCGGATGGTTGTGAGCTGTCATGTAGGTGCTGGGAACTAAGCCCAGGCTCTCTGGAACCGCTGAGCCGTCTCTCCAGCCCAGAATTCTTCTGTGTATGTGTGGAACTGGGACTTGAACCCAGGGCCTTGTGACAGCTAGGCTAGTATTCTACCACCGAGTTATATCCCCACCCTCTTTAGCATGTTTTTGAGGTTTGTGTATGTAGCATCTCGTCAAGTTTATGGCCAAATGCTAATTCCATTGAATGGATAGACCACGGCTAGTTTTCCAGCCACTTTAGGCCTTTGGCTTGTTTCTACCTTTTTCCTGTTGTGAAAGTGCTGTCAGTAACATTTTTTGGGCAGCTATCTGTTTCAGGTGCTTTTTTAACTCCTTGTTTTATCAGAGGTTATAAACCTCCATTGGAGGGTGAACAAGGGACTATAGATGGGTTTTTTAAATTGTGTTCTTAAAAAAATAATAATTTTAGATGTTTGAGAGTTTTTCTTAGATAGGCCAGAAGCAGGAATCAAGTCTCCTGGAACTGAAATTACAGGTGCTTGTGAGCCACCTGGGGTGGGTGCCGGGAACTGAACTCTGGTCCTCTGCAAAAGCAGCCAGTGTTCTTAACCTCCGAGCCGTCTCTCCAGTCCCTTCACTTGTATTCTTCCAGGAATTTCTGGACAGATTTAATGGTGTACACCTGTAATCCCAGCCCTTGGGAGGTGGAGACAGGGGATCAGGGGATCAAGGGCAGCCTGGGCTAGATACAGTTTGAGGCCACCCTGGGCTACGTGAGATGGTGTCTCAGCTACCCCCTCCTCCACACAAAAAGGGATTTTCCTTCTCTTTCTTTCTTTCTTTCTTTCTTTCTTTCTTTCTTTCTTTCTTCCTTTCTTTCTTTCTTTCTTTCTTTCGTCCTCTTGACTTCTAGTTTTCTGTTTTTAAATATTCAAATGCTTCATTTTTAAGTATATTTTATTTGATTTTATATGTATGAGTATTTTGCCTTGCATATATGTCTGCATACCTTTTTTTAAAAGATTTATTTATTTACTTATCTTATTTATATGAGTACACTTTCACTCTTCACACACATCAGAAGAGGGCATCAGATCCCATTACAGATGGTTGTGAGCCACCATGTGGTTGCTGCGAATTGAACTCAGGACCTCTGGAAGAGCAGTCAGTACTCTTAACCGCTCAGCCATCCCTCCAGCCCCATCTGCCTCTCTCTATGGCCCCACTCACCTCTTCTTAGGATGACTCAATAGGGTTCTCTCCTCTCCACAGGAGGAAAACTCTCTCTTCATCATGACCAACATGATCATCACTGTGAACCAGACGCAGGGCACCTGTCCAGAGGTGAGTGGCTCTTTGGGAAAAGCCCCTCGGGCGTCACACCCACCTCTACTCCTGGTGAAGTGTGTACAGACCACGTGGAACTTGTCTGCGTTCATCCCTTTTCCAGATTCCTGATAAGACCAGCATTTGTAGTTCAGACGCCAACTGCACTCGCGGCTCCGCGGACACCCACAGCAGTGGTAGGAATGAGTAGCTCCTGCTGCTGGGACACCTCAGCAGATGCTGGGCCAGGGGAAAGTGGCTTCTGATGGCATCACACTTCCTGTGGCACATCTGCAATAGAGAAATTGCAGAAACAAGAATCCGCCCGCCCATACCCCTACTCCCACCCCAGCCTGGGATCCAGCTCAATGGTAGAGCTCAGGCGTGCCTTAGATGAGCCCTGGGTTCTAGCTCATCAGCAGAGAGGACCCCCTCCCCCTGCCATATGAACCTAGGGGAACCTGGTGTGAGAGCAGATCCAGGAGCCTTCTTAGCCTTTATCTGTGTGGTGCCTGCCTCTGTGACTTGGTGTCCCGTCATTGGCAGCTATGCGGCCGGCCCTGAGGCAGCCTTCTTGTTCCACTTCCAGTCTCGAGACACCATCTAAATCCTATAACTTACTGAAGATGGCTGCCCAGGGTCCCCGGGGTCTCTTACGGTACTACACAAGGGTAAAAGGTGGGCGACAAAACCCCTGTGCTCCCTCCCGGCCCTGTCCTCTCTTCCCAGGAATCGGGACTGGAAGGTGCGTTCCATTCAATGAGTCTGTGAAGACCTGTGAGGTGGCTGCATGGTGCCCCGTGGAGAACGACGCTGGCGTGCCAACGTGAGTCCCACCCCGGGCTCCCTAGCCTTGGTTTTCAGCCTGGAGGGAGGTGACAGAGAGGGTGAGGTGAGCCTTTGTGCTAATTTTTTTTGTTCACTCTTGTCCCATGAGTGAGGCGATTCTACTCAGAGAGAGTGGTTGTCAACCGCAGAGCAGGGAGACCACAAGGGTTTGTCACTTGTGATAAGGCTGCAGGTGGCATATGTGTGCTGGAGCACCGTCAGTTAGAGCACCGTCAGTTGCAAATAACCAACAGGAAACAGTTCTCTGGTTTTGGTCTTTTTTGTTTTGTTTTGTTTTGTTTTGTTTGTGGTAGGGGTTGGTTTTTTGTTTGTTTGTTTTGTTTGTTTGTTTGTTTAGACAAGGTTTCTCTGTGTAGCCCTGGTTATCCTTGAACTTACTCTGTAGACCAGGCTGGCTTCAAATTCAGAGCTATGCCTGCCTCTGCCTCCCAAGTACTGGGATTAAAGATACGTGCGACCACCATCCCTCTGGTCATAGATAGATAGATAGATAGATAGATAGATAGATAGATAGATAGACAGACAGATAGAGCCTCATTATGTACCCTGGAATGGCTTTGAATTTTTTTAAATAATTTTTTAATTACATTTGTGTGTGCATACATAACGAAGCTTAGAAAATAACTTGCGAGTCAACTCTCTCCGTCTACCATTTTGGACCAGGAATGGAACTGAAATCCTTTGGCCTTGCAGCAAGTTACTTTACCCACTGAGCCACGTCAGCAGCCAAGCCCTGAACCCTTAATCTCCTGCCTTGGCTTTCCAAGTATTGGGAATACTGGCATAAGCTATCATAACCTAGCTTTGTGTGTCTCAAGCACCACGCCCATATATACCCAATCCCAACACCACACAACCAGCACATTTCATATTTCAACTAACAGAAAAGACTGAGCCAGGCTAGGTTTAGGGATCACAGAGTACCAGGTCCCTCTGCCTCTGCCTTCCTCGGGGTAGCTTCCTCTGCATCCCTGGGCTTATGTCTCTCATCCTGACTGTACATCACTGGATCTGTCCATCACTGTCACCTGTGACACTCAGAAGCATGCCCTTTGCTTCTCAGCTTGGACTAGGGTCACATATCTGCCTCTGGAGCTAGGTCTGCCATCAGTACCACCCAAAAAGGACAGGCTGAGGTGGGAGAGGCAGGGTGGGGGAGGGAGGGAGCGCTAGCTTCTAAAGGAAACTGGGGATTCGGTTGCCAAGGAAAAGAGGTGGGGAAATCGCAAAAGCAAGGTCGTAAAGGACAGAAGGTTCAAGGGGCCCTGGACACTGTCTTCCCAGGCACTTCTGTGCTTGGCATGGGTGGAGGGAGAAGCCGCACAGAGAGACCTGCACGTAGCCTGGGTTTCTGTGTTGTTCAGTCCTCTGTGAGACCTGAGAACCAGGAAGCTGTGGCAGCTCAGCCTGGATGTGCTGCCCTTGAGGGAAACCTGTGGCTCAGGCACAGGGGAAATGCCAAAAGGAGAGGGATCCTGGGGTTTGGGTCCTGGGAAGGACCTTTGAGAACTGTAGTCTCCAGCACTGGGGCTATCAGCCACTTGCTGCTGTTGAGGTTTTTTGAAATCCTGGGTTTAAAGTAACGTGTACTATTGATGTGGCAGGTTGTAGGTTCTGAAAACTATGACCAAGGCACATGGCCTAAGATCTGATTAATATTTTCTGTTGGTCATATAATATGTCCAAGTCATATTATACATTGGGATAGTGTACAGTAAATGTCACTCCCCTTCTACATTTAAATTTTCTTAAAGAGGGTGGTCGTGATGGTGCATGCCTTTAATCCCAGCATTCAGGAGGCAGAGGCAGGTAGCTCTCTTGTGAATTTGAGGCCACCCTGGTCTATGTAGTGAGTTTCAGGACAGCCAGGGCTATGTAAAGAAGCCTTGTCTCAAAAACACAAAGTAATTAGTTAATTACATTTCCTAAAGATTCTTTTTTTTAAAAAAATGTGTATGTATATCAAGTGCCTGTGGTACCCGGATCTGGAGTTTCAAGCAGCTGTGATCCGCCTTACCTCAGGTCTCTCACCCGCTCCTTTACTTAAAAAAAAAAAAAAAAAAGCTTTTCAAATTAAAATATAATTATACCATTTCCCTCCCTTCCTCCACCCACTCCTCCTGTGTAACTCTACCCTGCTCCCTCTCAAAGTCATAGATGCATGTTTTGCTTTTCTGTTACTGTTTTACATACATACACACACACATACACACACACACACACACACACACACACACACACACACACACACCAATACAACCTGCTCTCTACTGGGCCAGTAAAATGGCTCAGCAGAAAAGGGCACTTGCAGCTGAGATGAGTTCTAGCCCTGGAACCCACATGGTTGAAAGAACCAGCTTGCGGGGCTGGAGAGATGGCTGAGCGGTTAAGAGCACTGACTGCTCTTCCAGAGGTTCTGAGTTCAATTCCCAGCAACCACGTGGTGGCTCACAACCATCTGTAATGGGATCCGATGCCCTCTTCTGGTGTGTCTGAAGACAGCTACAATGTACTCATGTGCATAAAATAAATAAATCTTTAGCCGGGTGGTGGTGGCGCACGCCTTTAATCCCAGCACTTGGGAGGCAGAGGCAGGCAGATTTCTGAGTTCGAGGCCAGCCTGGTCTACAGAGTGAGTTCCAGGACAGCCAGGGCTACACATAGAAACCCTGTCTCGAAAAACCAAAAAAAAAAAAAAGAAAGAAAGAAAGAAAGAAAGAAAGAAAGAAAGAAAGAAAGAAAGAAAAAAAGAAAGAAAGAAAGAACCAGCTTGCACATGGCTGTCTGACCTCTATGCATGTACACATGATGAATTTTTTGTGCAAATGTGGTCTCCAGAAAACTTGAAGGAGTATGGTATAGAACAGCCATGGTGGTATACACCTGTGATCCTAGCACTCAAGAATCAAGGGCAGGTTGGATCTCCATGAGTTTGGGGCCAGCCTGGTCTACAGAGTGAGTTCCGGGACAGCTAGGGCTACACAGAAAAACCCTGTCTCCAAAAATCCAAACACCGGAAAGAGAAGAAATCACAATGTGGCTATAGTTGTGTTTGACAGTGTGTTCATACCAGACAGCACCGTTTCAGGTCCACTCTGAGAAGTCACATAAAAAGGTTGTGCATGTGGCAAAGGCTTCTGAGCCCAGTGCTGTGGAAGTGTGCTTGGGCACCCTTGAGGGTCACTGGCCAGCTGGCCTAGTCTGATTGGTGAGCTCCGGGCTAGTAAGAGGGCTTGTCTCAGAGGAGGACTGTGTTCATGAGGAAGACGCCTCCAGGTATGCACAGACATAAAATCTGCATGTACACACAGCACTAAAAAGAGGTATCTCCATCCTTACTCAGTCTCTTCCCTTAAATCAAGGAGGAAACCCTGACTTGGGGTATCTTGGTTATCACCTCCTGATTTATATTTCTAAGAATAAGCTCCAGACCACACACCCTGCACAGACAATAATATTAACTACAGGTTTTAATATCACTTCTTTGGGAGTTGAGAGCAACTCAGGTTTTTCTGTTTTTGAATGCATACAAACTGTGGTATGCCCATACAATGGAATATTACTTTGCTTGGTAAAAGGATCAAGTTCACCTAAGAACTTTCTTGGAATCAGTGACCCTCCTGGCTCAGTCTTCCCAGTGCTGGGATTAACAGGTATGAGCCGTACTATCTCAGTATATGGCCTCATTTTAAAATGGCTAATCTTTTTTTAGTTGAATTTCACTTCATTTTTGAAAAAGAAAAATTTTCAAAGCAAAGTGCTGCTTGTGGGGTGCACCAGTATTAGGGGTATGATACAGAAAATGACATAAATGGAAAAACCCTGTTGTGACCCTTCTCTCTTGATAGGAATGGAGATGGAGTCTGAACCACCTCCAGGCCTTCACATAGGATCAGAAGTGTTGGGCTCAGCTCCCCTCATCAGTGGCCCTTGGTGGCTTTGCTGCTGATGCGGGGCTGAGATTAGTGACTCCATTTATAACTTCAAAGGTCTTGTCTGCCTCAGAAGAGGCCTCTTCCACAGAGAGGTCAGACCTACATTTCTGAGTTCTTACCGAGAAAAATCCACCCAAGAAACCAGTCCCCTTGGGGACAGACTCACCTTGTATTGTCAGCCGCAGGCTGATGTGGCACCTTTTAGAACTCTGGCAATATGGTTTCCTTTTCAGCAAGGTCAGAATGTCCCTGCCATGTGAACGCCTCAGTGTTTTGACATATAAAACCAGATCTAGAGAGCATTTATAAGCCATGAACAGCTTAAAGGCAGACAGGAGGCCAGCAGATGCTAAGGATTATGGTGGCCACAGCCAGACTCCTTTTCTGCTAGTGCTTTGGGCAGGAAGTTCTGCCTCTTCAGAGGAAGGACCCAGAAGGCCTGGTGACCTAGTGTGACACAAACGAGAATAGAAAATGCCAGATGCTCCCATCCTCCTTTCGAGAGTGGCGCTGTAAGCCATCGGAAAGGTCGCACAGCAGTGCGTATGTGTTTAATGACCATCACGATTCTTTTCCAGGCCAGCTTTTTTAAAGGCTGCAGAAAACTTCACCCTCTTGGTAAAGAACAACATCTGGTACCCCAAGTTTAATTTCAGCAAGTAAGTGGGGGGGGGCAGTCACGTGCATTCACAAGCCTCTTAGAACGTCTGGCTCTCCCTGAGGTTGTCCTTGCTCAGACTCTCTGCTTCCTCCCTGACTTCAGGAGGAACATCCTCCCCAACGTCACCACCTCCTACCTCAAGTCGTGCATTTACAATGCTCAGACGGATCCCTTCTGCCCCATATTCCGTCTTGGCAAAATCGTGGAGGATGCGGGCCACAGCTTCCAGGATATGGCAGTTGAGGTAGGTGCCAGCATGGCTTTGCTCATAGCTTCTTGGCCCCAGCATGGGCCTAAGTTCTGAAAGCCTACCTGTGTCTCTCCTGCTTTCCCTGCAGGGAGGCATCATGGGTATCCAGATCAAGTGGGACTGCAACCTTGACAGAGCTGCCTCCCTCTGCCTGCCCAGATATTCCTTCCGGCGCCTCGACACCCGGGACCTGGAACACAATGTGTCTCCTGGCTACAATTTCAGGTACACTCACATGCTGAGGGGATGCACAGATGTGGGCTGCATCCTGAGACCTGTCTCACTAAAATACAAAGGGCCGCACTCAAACTTGACAGCTGAAAATGCTGCTGTATCTGTTTCCCTGAGCCCTAGTAGCGAATAATACCGAACAGCTTGAAACAACAGAATCTTATTCTTTGATAGTTCTGAAACTGTTAGCCTGTTGGATGGCGTTGCTGTAAACTCTATGGTCCGATCCTTCCTGACCTTCAAGCGTTTGGCAACTGTTAGCAAACCTTGGCTCGTACATGTGTCACCGCCTCTGTGATCATGTGGCTTTCTTCCCTCTGTATATCTTCTCTATGTAGCCGAGGATCATCTTGAAATCCTGAACCCCCACCATCACCCCAAGTGCTGGGATGGTCAGGTGTGCACCCTCACACCTTTCTCTTCTTTGTATGGACGGCTAGGAACTTGCTGTGTAGATCAGGCTGGTTCAAACTCCAGAAATAGGACTGCCTTACCCTCCTGAGTGCTGGGTTAAAGGCATGTACCACCGTACCTGGCCTAGTCGTTCGTCTTCTTGGACATTAGATTTAGGGTTAACCTTAATCTAGTGTGACACCCCCCGCCTTAACTAATTACATCTGCAAAATAAGGTGACCTTTGCAGGCCACTGGTGGAGATGAACTTGAGAAGGGGCGCTGTTAAATCCAGGACACCTGGGAATGTGATGAGAGGCCTGGCGAGCCCCTTTGCCATTTTCTAAAAGCAGCCAAATCCTGTGTACAGTGAACGAGCATTTGCTAGGTCCGGTTTAAAAGTTGCCCTTGACTCCCTCTAGTGGTAGCTTGTGGTATCAAATTTGCGTGGGGTAGTAAGAAGGCTTTCTGAAACTAGGGCAGCTATCCAAACTGCACCCTGGGGGTCAGATTTGTTTTGTTCCGTCTCTGTTGCTGCAGGGTTCTTATAGGGACCACGGTGGAGACCTCAAGTTTGGTATGGAATCCTAGAGCTGAGAGGGTGACTGATCTCATAGGACACCCAGCCCCTCTCCTCTGCCAGTTCCAGTCTCACCTGAGGGTCCCAAGCCTGGACCAGATAAATCCCAGGCTTCAGGCTTAAGTTTCTGGTAGAATGCTAACTAAGGCTGGGGCCTGACAGAACAGTGACGGGGCAAGGTTTCTTCTGGAGCTGTTGAGAATCTAAAACCGAGTGGTTGCATACTTCAGAACTGACTGACCTTTTAGTTTCCGGGTGGCTAGAATTACAGACTCCCCTGGCTTGCATTCTGCAGCTTGGAAGGCGAGTTGTGTGGTTGTATTATCTCAACTGTGTATCTCAACCCAGCCATAGAAACTAAAAAAGCAGACGGTAGCCAGGGAGGAGCCCTGAGGCGTGGTGCATCCCACCTGGTGCCAAGCTCCTGGGCTGAGGTGAGCCCTTGGGCTGGCTCGGTTCCCATCCTTCAGTGCAGTCTTGCAGATCCCCACTTAGCTGACACGTTCTCTGTTAGTACACAGGGTCCCTTGGAGAGAAGCGGTGTCCCAGCTGTATCAAGAAGACCATTCAGAGTAAAAGGTCTCCCACCCTTGGGGAGGATGCTGATGGCAGGGGAGTCCCTCTGCTCCTCCAGGAGGGGTCCTGGCCCCTTCAGCCACATTAACTGGGAGGCTGACTTCCGGTCTGTGAAGCCACCGGAGTCACTCATTAGCCAAGACCAGTTGTGCCCAGGGACCCAGGTCTTGCGCTAACAGTCTCCACCTGGGACCCAAGGTCTGCACTTATCCCCTAACCTATCCCTTTGTCCTCCAGGTTTGCCAAGTACTACAGGGACCTCGCTGGCAACGAGCAGCGCACACTCACCAAGGCGTATGGCATCCGCTTTGACATCATCGTGTTTGGAAAGGTAGGCCCTCCTTTTGGACCCTGCTTGGAGAGCAAGCTTCCCACTGTCCTCCTCTCTGTCAGCACTGCCATCAGAACACTTTGGTTCTCCTCCTGTCTTACGCAGGCTGGGAAGTTTGACATCATCCCTACCATGATCAACATTGGCTCCGGCTTAGCGCTCCTAGGGGTGGTGAGTAGCTAGAGCCGTTTCCTCGTCTGGACTTTTCTCTCTCGTAAGCTGCTTACTGAGCACTGTCCTTCCCTTAGACTTGCCTCTAGACTGCATATGGTTAGGGGTGAGGAGAAAGAGTCCCTAGAAATCCCACCTCGGAGACTAAGCTCATTGGTCAGAGTCCAGTCTGATCCAGAGAAATGGAGATGTCCTTCCTCCTTGGTCGATTCGATCTCAAAGGAAAGGTGTCTCATAAAGCAACAGCTAAAAGCATCCTGGTTCATTCTGTGCTAAATCAGGCGACAGTGCTCTGTGACGTCATTGTCCTCTACTGCATGAAGAAGAGATACTACTACCGGGACAAGAAGTATAAGTATGTAGAAGACTATGAACAGGTAGGCACCTGTACCTGGGGCGGGCACGAAGGGTGACACCTTGCCTTTGTCTCTTGTCCCCATGGATCACCAAGCAAAAGCCCTTCTAAGAAGACCAGCTGATCACCCCAGCAGTTACCCCTGTTGTAGCATGTATTTCCTCTCTTCAGATGGACTCCCTCTTTAAAACCTTGCGTTTATCACAGTCACACCTTGACTGTGATAATGGATTCCCATCCACATGGTGCTTACGTTCATCTTTTGAGGGTTTTGTAACCGTGAGACCCTCCAGAACCAACTTGAAACCTCCCTGTTGTTAAGATCCTTCCACAAGCCCTCAGGAAAGGCACCAAGCGGATGCCTGCCATAGGTGGTTGGGTCTATGGTGGCAACACAGGCTGGGTAGTCACCCGTTTACCCCTCTTTGCAGGGTCTTTCCGGGGAGATGAACCAGTGATGCGTAAGCCTACGTTTCAACCCCCCTTGGCCCATGAAGCAGAAAGATGGGAGACATGGCTGCTGCATCTGCCACTCAAGAGAAAGTTCCAGAGTTTAACTCAGTCTCTATTCCACAAATACTCAGGGTTGCCCAAGCACATCTTGTATTGTTTTCGAGCCTGGGTCTTGCTCTGCAGCTCAGATGGGCTCCCGAGTCAAGATCCTCTTGCTTCAATCTCCAAGAGTGCTGGGATCACACTCGTCCACGACAGTACCCATTTCCCGTGGGAGTTCTGGCATATTTTTACGTTTTACCATTTCACTGTATACATCTCAGGCTGGCCTCAGACTCAAGACATTCTTCCCCTATACACCCTTTAAATCTCACTGTGGAGAGGGGGTGCGTTTGCACACTACGTACAGTGGATTTCTGGTGTGCTGTTGGCTAGGTCACCTGATGCTTATACAGTGTGAGCATATGGGGTTGAGAGGAGTCTCAGAGCAGGGACACTGCTGTGGCCTGTGGACAGGCCCAGTCCTCTGAGGGGCAGCAGCTCCGTCCAAGCACCTTATAAGGAAAGAGGTTCTCCCAGGTGCTGTCAGCAGGCCTGGGACATTAGTCCTCTTCTCTATGACCAGAGAAGTTGTCCTTGTAACAAAGGCAGAGTTAGCTTTTCCTTTCATAAGGGCTGTGTTGAAATGACCTAGGACCAAACATTAAAAGAAACGATTTTTTTTAAAAAAAAGATCCTTGTCTGCGCTGTCTCTCTCGGCGTGTGAGCCGGATTCTCCTTCCATTATGAAAGCTGCCGGCATACAAATGGAGCCACCACACAAGGCTGGGGTGGGAGGTCCTCATGTGGTATCTGCCGGATAGGAAGATTATGTATATGCACATCTTCCGGAACAGGTCACTCTAGGAGCCGACAGAGTTCCTATCCACTGCTTTGGCCACTGCCCAAGATAAATCCATGACCAGAAGAACCTGTACTTCACAACAGCAGGATTTGTCGTCTTTTACCTTTCAAAGTTTGCCTTGGCTTTCTGGCTGTACCTCCATGCCGCCTCTGTAGGCGCTCAATCCACTTCAAGCAGGTTTAAGCACCACAGAGCACTGACATCCCACACTGCACCCTTCGCCATCTCTAAAGAGACTCTTTGGAGAGCCTCCTCCTCTCAGTATTTGACGGACATCCTCTGTAGTAAATTCTACAGTGGGCTGGCCCGCCATGCTCAGGAGAGCTCAGATTCCTTCTGGCAAGAAGTTTTGTTTTTGATGCTGCTGTTTTTGGTGGGGGAAGGCAAGATTTATGAAATGGTTTTTAACAAAACTCTGGTTTGTGTGGCTTGTTTTTTGTTTGTTTGTTTTGAGACAGGGTTTTCCCATATAGCCTTGGATGGCTTGGAACTCAGGCTGGCTTTGAACTCATGGAGATCGGCCTGCCTCTGCCTCCAAGTGCTAGGATTAAAAGCGCACATCACCACTGCCTGGCTGTTTTGTGATTTTAATAAGTCACATCATGGCTGGAGGTGGCTCTGTGGTTAAAGAGGTCCCTGCTGCTCTTGCAGGGGACCCGAGTTCAGTTTCCAGTGGCCACATCAGGAGTGTCACAACTGACTGTAACTTCACCTCTAGGGGATCTGACATCTGCCTCTCTCCTTCACAGGCAACCATATAACAGACATGTGCACACTCTGAGACACACATACATACACACAGAAATTGTTTTGTTAGATGCTGCCTAAACACAGATCAAATGGAACTGGATGTTTTAGGAATGCTGATATGGTTAGAGTATGTCCCCCCAAATTCACAGTTTAGAAACTGGATGTCTGGTGTGAGAAGGAGATGGAGCTTCTTGGAGAAGACTGAGCCACAAGCACTCCTTCATGAAAGGGTTTAACAGTCTTGTCAATAGGGCTTAAGAGGGACTCGTGCTTTTGTGGTCCTTCCGTGTGTTAGACAACATCTTGGAAGCAGAGAGACCTCAGCAGACCTGATATCTGCAGGAATGGTGTTCCTGGGCTCCAGAAATTTGGGGGGCTTTCTATTCTTTGCAAATTAGGCAGCTTGGGGCACTCTGTTACAGCAATGGTCACAGACTGGGTCATGCTTCGTTCACTATCCCAGAGGCTGAGAAACCATGATGGCACTGCCTCACTGTAGGGTGTGAGGGATGGATACTGGGGTACTGTTTACCTTGCTCCCCTGGGGCCATCTTGTATTCAGCGGCATCTCTGTTCACTGGCCTAGCCCAGTACTACCTCATAAGTGTGGGAGTCGATGACAGGATCCCTCACTCTCACGAGTAGGCTACTGGGACTCCCCGAAGTCCCTAAAGACTGCACAGTGATGAACCCTGGGAAATGGCTTCTCCACACCCCCAGTGACATTTCTGGAACCTTCTCTTGGTTCTCAGTCTCTGTTCCTCACTTTTAGGTAGAACCTCAGTATGTGGCCCAGAACGGCCTTGACCTTGGAATCCTCCTGCCTCCACTTCCCAAGTACTGGGATTACAGGCATGTGTCCACACCTGACAACAGCCCATATTTCCACAGCATGAATTGGGACTTGTCAGATCTCGCCTGTTCCCCTGATAACAGAGAGTAAAGTTCAAAGCCCGTTCAAACAACGTCCGGCCACAGGACATGTCTCGTGGGATGAAAACCACTCCCAACTGCACACCTATCCAACCTCACAGAGTCCTACCCTTACCTTCACACTTCAACCTTTGGGTGGCTGGCTCACCCGGGAGCAGTTTATACGGGACCCCAAAATGTGCATCCTGCCCTGCTTCCAAGAATTGTGGATGTGTCTGGTCTCAGAATCACGCTGAGTAATGACACCCTAGGGCATGCCTACATCAAGGGATCCGCCAGACAGCTGCGTGAGCTGTGACTTGGGCATCTGACTTGCTGTCAACCTAACGGAAGGAATACCAGTGTAAGCATAAACACCGCAGAGGAACAGCTACCAACTGAAGAACTCCCGAGAGGCCCGGGCTTTGCACCATTTTGCTGTCTGTTTATTTCAAGTTTACAGAGAAGCTTGATCACCTGTGGAAAAACAACCGAAAGCTCATCTTTTTAAGTTCATGTACTTGTAAGTGATAAATACACAGTATTTAACTTTATACACCTGATAAAAGGAAAATGCATAGTAGAGAGGTCAAGGGGAATCGAACAGAAGCGGTGGGCACTGGTCACCAGATATAAAAGTCCAAAGTCCCACAAAACTCGAGCCCACAGAGCTGGAGAAGACAGAAATCAACAATCTTCCCTAGCACCTTGGGAGCTAATGGAGGCTGTGGTTCCTTGTTGGCAATGTAAAGTGCGCCCCCTTGAGGATGGGCGAGAACTGCAGGCCTAACCTGGTGTCAACTTGTACAGATGTTATCTTAAGTCTACAAAGGTACGAGGATAACAATTCCGTACCATGGAAAGGCCAGACCAGTAGAGGGTGGCCTCTGCAGCCCCAAGGGAGAACAAGGGTCTCTGTAAGGTGTCTGGGAGCTTGTGAGACGAATGGGGGAGGCAATAAAGACAGAAGAGAGGAACAGGGCTTGTGCTTCCTTCAAGGCCATAGGTGCTGGCCAAGGTTGCTTACACATGAATCATGGGTGAACCAGCCATGGAAGGAATCGTGGGCATCCTATCTGCCCACAGAGAAAAGCCATTCTGACACTTTCTCTTCTCACTAATGATACTTTGAAAACAATATTTGTGCTCTAGTTACGGCTGGACCTCTTATACTTCCCATGGCAGCTGGGCAGGATGTGTGTGGGGGTGGGGTTGGTGGGGAGTAACTCCTTTCCACAGCTTTCTTTGGTGTTTCTTTGTTTAAGACAAAAAGTTACCCATGCAGACCTCTCAATTCCTTCTGCCTGAGCAGCTGGGGGCTGCCTGATTGCTGGCAATCCTAAAACATCCTGGATGATGGTGCCGTGGTGGTGGTAGGGAGATAACGGCATTGTCCAGAAGGGCTGTGTAAACACAAGAAGAATTCTGCAGAGCTCTGTATGACACCTGCCCTGCTAAGGCAGGCCACTCAGCCAAGCCAGCGTCCAGGCAGACAGGCTGGGTCTGAGCTGTATGACCTGTTGACTTTAACCACAAGATGCTTATTGCAAACTAACTGAATTCCATCTGTGGCCACAAGGGGTGGAGCTACTGGGCTGTTACTCCTTAAATTTTAAAAAGGGAAACTGACAGGAAGTCCTTGGTCACACAGACCCTTCCTCACACTGCAGTCTTTGCCCGGATTCTAACTGCTCATGTGACAGCAGGGAAAGTGGTGCCGGGAGGTGGTGGCGCACGCCTTTAATCCCAGCACTTGGAAGGCAGAGGCAGGAGGATTTCTGAGTTCGAGGCCAGCCTGGTCTACAGAGTGAGTTCCAGGAGAGCCAGGGATACACAGAGAAACCCTGTCTCGAAAAAAAAAAAAAAAAAAGAAATAAAGAAAAAAGAAAAAAGAAACCCTACAGAAGGAAGCAAGGAACGCCTGGACTCCAGTCTTCTAGGCCCCATTACTGACAAGATAATCATTACCAAAGCACTGGAAAACAGTCTGGAACCCCTCTTAAACTTCCTATTTTTTTTCCTGTGGCCCTGGGTTATCACACCCAAACTTCAACCAAACTTTCAATATTGGCTGAAAGTCAAAAAGGTTCCTGTTCACTCTCCAGTCCTCTAGCTACAGGAAAAACAAACAAACAAACAAAAACCGAAGGCCCTGTGCCCTGAGGAGCGTTCTGGGTTTTGACACTTTTCTCAACAATGGCACCCTGATGTCATTGCGGTTCCCACTAACGCTTTGATCCTAAGGATAGCCATTTGTGCCTATGCTGAGTGACAATCTTGTCTAAGTGGCCCACAGGAAACTGCTGTTTCATTGACTGTATCGACCAGACAGTATTGAAGAGGAAAGAAAGCTTACAGTCTCTAGAACACACAGGTAATAAACAAGCACAGCTGCTAATACACAGGCACACGTTTCGTCGGCTCTCGGTCCCCTGCGCAGCCGCACGGAGGAAGCTGGGACACAGATCCTGGAAGCTCCAGTATGTAACTTGTGAACTTCTCCAGAGTTCTGGCTAAAGACTTGGAAACATCTGTTGAGTCTTAAGTCATGTAATGTACATGAAAGAGTAGATATCACCCTGAAGGTTTTTTTGTTTTTTTTGTTTTTGTTTTTTGCCAGTTTACAAAGAGAATTAGCTTAGCTGACGACCTCAGGAACCCATTTTGGGTAGCTAACATGAAGAAGTGTGTTCAGCCCTCCAGAGAAACCTCTGTCGCCACAGCTGCTGAATGCTCTTTCAGAGTTACAAAGTCCTCAAGCTTTTCAACCTCAAGCCCTTTGAGTTTTTCCTGACTATAATTTTATCCATTTAAAAAAAAAAAAAACACTTAAAAAGTCCTCATTACAAATAAAAGACATCGAAGTTCCCTGCAGCTACTGAGGGCTAGCCCTGTCTTTCCATGGTCCTGGAAGGTGCCCAGGCATGGAGTTTGTATGTGGGTCACACCGATCCTTCTAATCCCGTTCAGTGTAGCCCCAGCCAGCAGGAGTCTCCCCACGTGATCCTCCATGCTGCTCAAACCCCACACACATTCACCTGGTACATCTGACATGGTTCTGAATTCTCAATGGAGGGGGTTTGTGGGTTTTTTTTTTTTGGCATAAAAACATTTTAAAAAGCAATTGTCCCAAAATGCATGTTGGTTTCAGTTAGCAACTCCTCACAC